CCACATTTACTAGACTACTGGGCAAGACATTTACTTTTACATCTTCTTTAGGGGAGAAGGACTTGAGGAGGAAGAAAAATCGAAACAAGTTTTCATCAAGTTCAAAAATAAGTTAACCTCTTAAAAAACCCTCTTAGATTTCAAAAGTATCAGTCAATACTGTACACTATCTCCCCAGTGACACAAAATACCAGTGCTATGTAGTTATGCGATACAGTTTCTCTATGAGGTAATACGGAATCATGGTATGTATACTGTATGTACCTATAATTATGCCTCCATTGTTCAAGTGGCAGTGGCACTGTGCCATACCGCACACAGCCAACACAGAATATTCACAGCGATTTTTATGTTAAACCTATTCTGTAATAATTGTGCATCGAAACTCTGCTATTCTATAAAACACGTGTACGATGAGGCAGCGTTTAAGTGTGCCTGCACTGCCTTTTAAGGACTGGCTATAGGTCACACACCAGATTAGAACTGTGGTTCGAGCCTACGGTGAGCCTGAAACTGTGGCCCCAGGAGGAGTCAGAGCGGCACCTGGGCACACCTGAAGTGCAGACCTGCAGGGTCTCTGTGCGGTGGCCAACGGCAGCTGAAGCCGGTCAGCTGAGATGCACATTGTGCTCAGACCATACTCCTGACACCGATTCTTAAAGAACTGCCAAGCTGGGTATTGTTTCTTGCATTTACGATACACATACTGACACAAAAATATCAGTATGTGTATGAATTTCATCTCTGCAACAAGTTAATCCAAGTGAAAAACCCCTGCAGTTGGATTACATTGAATTCCTACCCCCAAAAGTCTCACCATTTTCTGGAAGTCATGAAGCACCTCCGAGTGCCTCATTAACCTACCTTCCTCAAATATTTTTAATACCACAAACTCCTGAGCAGATTTTAAGATAAGCTAGAAAAGTGTGTCCTTAGAGCCCTGTTTTAAATAATGCTTACCTGAGGCTGAAAATAACCTTGTGACAAATTTAAGATACTGGCCAACGTCAGTTAGAGCTACAACCAAACCTCTTATTCTTCCAAAGAGGACATTACCCTCATCAGCAATGAGACCAAATCAAAACGCATTTCCATTGCTGCCATATACAAATGTATTGTAACTAAACAGATGTGCTGTCTAGCATGGGGATGCAAAAAAAAAACCAAAACCAACCCAAAAACCCAAACACCCCACCACCAAAAATCAGTCTTAAAAAGGACAGCTACTCTAAAAAGCTCTCTGAAATATTAAATTTATCTGTAGGACAGGCTATGGCGAGAATATGATGGTATAAGGGGACATTATGGTAGAAACGGGGTAGAAAGATTGCATTCCTCTTTTGTACAATTTGCTGATAGCTTCACTACCTCCACCTAATACTGGTACTCCACATTTTGAATGCCATACTTAAAACCTTCCTATTTGCTGCAGTTGAGCAACTGCAGCTAAAGTATAGCATGAGTTCCAGTGACTTCTACACACACACAAAAATCAAAAATGCCACATAAAACTACTTTTAGTGACTTAGAGCTGTCCAATACTTTCACAAAACCTCCCAAGTTAAAAACTCTAAGTCTTTTCTCTAACAACATTTGAGTCATATTCTTTAGAATTTAGATAAAAAAGGGTTAGGCTTTACTAACAAAAGGAATAGGGGAAAAAAATTACATGTTACATGATTACGTGAATGCTGGAAGATGAAGTTTTAGACCTCTTGGTCAGATAGTTCCCTCTTTTTTGGTGGTGGTTTTTTTATATCTCAGAAAATATTACCAAATCTAAATTAATGCAAATTTAATCTCTGGTGGTGAAATATTCCCTAGCAAAACTGGAAGAGAAATTTAAGTAACTAGATACTGGATAGGCGTTAATTGAGAGATATTAAATCTTCTCTCAGTTTTTTAATATGTAAAAGTCCCACGGAAGTCTGTATTTAGTAATGAAACACATTTGCTTCTTAACTTTTGTTTCTTGTTTTGACTGGGAGAAACTACAGCTTTCTCATGGTCACAGGGACCTGAGAGGACCGATGAGAAGAATCACTGCACAGAGTACAGGCATCACTCTCCCATTTTCAAATAACACGAGCAAAGCCACGACGGGTTCTACCAGCGAATAAACTCTCCCCGAGCACTGCAGTTCTCCAAAAACCAGTATGCCTAAGGCTTGCCGTTGGGCAGAATATAACTGTATGAAAAATAACTGACTTCACACTAATAATAAACTAATTCTTTATTCTAAAGCAGCATACTTTGAGGTTGGTCAAGCACCCTCAGTCTATTTAGACGTGAGAGAAATAAACGATTCTGAACTTGAAGGAGACCCTCCAGCAGAAAGCTCATGCAAGATGACATAACCTTTATGCTACTGGAACAGATTATTTCGAAAGCTTCTTAGTTCCTTCCTCACTTCACATGACGCCTCTCAACGATGAGATTATCCTGCAATCTTTTTCTGCTCATGCATAGGTATTTTAATCAATGAGAAACATCAGCTCACCAGTTTGAAGCACATTTCTGTAAATTGAAAGAAAAGTACCTGCCTTGAAAGGAATTGTAAAAAGCAGACAAGAAAGATTTTGCTTGCATCCAATTGTGAGATCTTAAGTCCATAAACTGGACGCAACACCTTGGTGTTGGGTTTGTTTAAGGTAGTTTTTTTAAGGTAGTAGGACTATTTGGCTTTAGAAATAATATCATTCAAGTTCAGCAATCCTACTTCATCTCTGCTCCCAAGAAAAGGATAAAGAAGCACAGAAGTATCAAAACTTCACAGTAAATGTCTTTCCTGTACTTGATCAATGGACAAATAAAATATGAGTTTCAGGTTGCAAGGTTCAATGGGAATTACTGAAAGGAACATTAACTAGCGTTTCTACTAGCTACACAGATTAAGACAATGAAATGAGCTTACTTACTGATGCCTACGTATCCAAAGACAGAGAAAAATGAAAAGTATGAGACAAGGCAGATTTAAAACTAAAGAGCTTAGTTCCATTTCATTTGCTATAAACACCAAATTAAGAAAACAAGACACAAGGCAGCACTGCAAATGAAAGATGACTGTCTCAGGACAACTAAAGACAGGAAACATTGTACTACAGTTCATGGAAAATGTTAATAAAAGGTATTTCCCGAAGAATAATTTCCTAAGATACACCAGTGCCTTGAAATCAAATATCTGACAGAAAAAAAAAAAAAGATAATTTGTAATTATTTTTATTGAACCACACTATTTTCTTTAAAATCCTAGGGATTTTCATGTATTTTGTAAGGATTTTTACTAGTTTATGTTTAATTAGTTCCTTAGGCATTATGAATATGTTGTATATCTTAGCTGTATGCAAAGACATCTGAGAGAAATTATTCCAAATATGGCATCTTTTTTGGTGCAATGAAAGCTATTTTTAGTCAAAATGAACAGAAATCTAAGCCTCAAAGTCAACATTGCAAATCTGTAAATTTGCACCTCTATGTTGCAGTACTAAAACATAAAAAAAAAAAAAAAATCTGTGCAGGTAAAAACCCAACACAACGAGGCTTGTTCTGGGTTTAGCATAAGGTATTTGTCAGTACAAAACACAGATTCATCCACTGGGATATCCAGTTCCCACAGATAATCAGCTTTATATCACTGCCAGTAAAAGTAGCAGGAGCGAGTCATTAATTTCGGTAGAAATTTAGTTAAATGCAAAAGAAACAGGAATTTTATCCATCAGGGCACCTCACTGTATGTGTAAGCGTTACAGATGTGATCTCACATGGTTCACAAGCAGAAGTGCTCACATTCAAAAATGCCACCATAAGCTACTGTCGAACATACATTTTTCCTCCTTTCCTGCCCAAGCAGTAACACTTCACAAAGGCAACAGGCATGGGAGGAAATTCAGCAGTTCGGAGAAGCTGTTCTTGTTTCAAGAACAGCTCCTCTATTTACACAGAAAAGCTCAAGTTCTGGGATTATTTCAAACGCAGAGAGTGCGCTTGGATGGCCAAGAGTTAAAGCAGCAGTGATACACTTTGTCATGCTTCCTTAGCATTTTATAAACTCAAATACAGCATCTGTAAAATTTCAACTTTCTCAGCAAAACAAATAATGATTGAAAATAGAGCAGGAGTTGGGCAATCCTCACACCACCACCAGCAGCTCGCTTTCTACCTGCCTCCAAACATATTATTAATGCTATGCTCTTCAACATTACTTGGTTTTAAAACATAAACACGGACGAGTTAAGTGTGGCAAGCTTATCAACAAAACCCCCCAGTATGATACAAATATTAATTGCCTATTCTCTTTTGTAACATTTTCACACTGAGAATTAAATTGTTGTTGGAGTCCATAAACTTCAGATTTACAGAAGCATGAAAACATAGGCATCTTTGCACTATTATTTTTTTACGAGCATATAATAGGTAAAAGATACATTCATTGAACTGCCAGTCGTTTCTCTACTTTGATAGTTCCTTTATCTTTAATTTCAATATGCAAAGAGTTTCAAATTTAAAACACCCCCCACACACACTTTACTCAACAGAATTATTTCTTACTACGGCAAATGGGGAGTTTGGGGCAGCAATTTCATTGGATGCATTTAGTCAACAGCTTTGGAAAACGTGGCATGCTGACCTGGATTTGCAAAGGCACTAAGGGAGCCCAGTCCTGGCTCACCCTGGTAGCAATGGCCTGCTGTAGGCTCTCGCTCTAGAAAAAAACATCTGGTTATACCCTGGTTACACAGGTTTTTGCCAACTTAAAACCTGTTAAAGATTCCCCTATGTGCTACAAGAAATCCCCATTAGTGGGTTAAATTGTTTTTTCTCTCCTTACAGAGTCATCCTATTTATTTTCTGGACATTTGAGACCCGCAGGCAGCTGGGGAAAGACCCCTTCATGAAGAAAAGACTTTTTGACAACAGACTGCATGAAGCGATATCCCTGGAAAGCAAATCATGGCTTCGGTCGCCAACAATTTTATTGATGTATCACAAGGAATACTCACATGGTGCTGTCGCCAAGCTCTTCATAGAGGTTATTGGCAGCGGTGCTTGCTGGTTTGCCTGCTGGTAAAGCCATCTGGATTCTTGCAGTCTTCGCACATTCAGCCTGTCGCCTTTGGTAAGCCACGCAGGGAAGGAGAAATACTCATTAGAAACACTCTATACCCTAACATAAGCCGAGACATAAAGTTTTCTATGTTTTTTCCTGCAGTTTTCAAAACGTCCCTGCGTTTTGTCTTCTTCAAAGAAAAGTAACAACTTGATAATCTTTTCCTTGGTTTTTCATCCCTCCGTAACTTGTTCTCTCTTGGTGGAATCCCAGAGCTCCCCCTGGACAGAAACCTCCCGACCAGCAGCATGTCACTGCCACGGGAAGTATTTCCCAGGAATTAATGTATTTGCTAGCTTTGACGCTGCTCTCCTTAGGAGCTTTATCTGTTCTGGCTGCCCAAGACCAGCAGTGGAGGGAGTAAGCTCTTTGGTCAAGTGCTTCATTCAAGTGCCAAGAAACTGTAATTCTAAACACAGAACAACTCTCTGGCAAAGTTTAAGTCATCACTTGCAACTCCTTCCTCATTAGACGTGGCTGGGAAATTTCTGTCTCAATGAACAGTCTTCCTGACAAAATTATTTTCACTATGAAACAAGTTTTCTATTTTCTATCTAGAAAGCAAAGGCTGTGGTTCCTCATGGGTGTAACTGGGGGAGCGCCACTGCGGTGACACGACTGATCTACCTCACTCTGTTTTGAGGGTGGGCGATACCTGACCCTGTTTAGGGAAGTCTCCCTACGCGCTCTAGCCTGACATGCACTTGCTGGCTTGAGCAATCCCACGCACATGGAAATCTTTACTTTTTTCTCAGCAGGAAACAGGCGATGTCCTGAACCACGGTATCCTTAACGCGTGCTAGCATGCAATAACAAAAAACACTGAGTAGCCATAGAAGTAACTTTTAACCTCGCCATACAAGGTGTTCAGGAACAAGTTGGAATATAGGAAGTAACTCTTACTGAATGTCAAGTACCCCTTCTTCTTAAAAATAAAGACTGGCAAGCTGTCAAGCTCTCAGTATTCCTATGCAATCTGTTAGAAACAAAGCTGAAAATAAGTACTTACTCTTTGAATCTGTTTTGTTATGCAAAAAAAGATAAAGAGATAAAAAGGAAGGTTAAATGAATTCAGTTTGCAACAATTGTCCTAAACAGTGAACCTAATAGGAGTAACAAACTACATGCTACTTAATTATTCCACACATAAAATTACAGAATTAATGATGTTTAAAGAATCATCATTTCCAGAGCTGAACAGTGTTTAGCTGCTATTTGTGATACTCTTGAAACAATTCTGCAGTCAGCATAAACAGGAATTACAGCGGGGAAAACTGCTTTGGGCTTCCAGAAAGCAACTGCCTGCCACACACACACACAGAGAGGGAAAAGAGTAAGACATGAAAACATGAATATACCTTGTGATACTTCTTTAACAGGTGGACTATTAAAGGGGCATTTTTGTAACTGTTTTCCCATTTTCACATGTTTCGAGAATGCTATAGAAAACATCTTCAATAGTGAAGGAGTATTATTTTTGGTTTTATTTAGAAGATACTGGTCTTTTGTGATTAGCAAATAATATATTAGTTATAGTTACCTTATGGGGTTGGACTGGATAGTGCAGTTCAAAGACACTACTTAATAGAAAAGAATAATCATGATAGTTTCTGGCTTGTTTACGAAGTCATAAAGGTAGGCACCGAGCTGCACTTTGACAGTGATAATTTTATAAATTAAATGAGTTTTCAATAACCGTTATTTTTACAAAATTTAGCAAGCTGATCGCAGATCTGGAAAGCACTGAAAAATGGACCTACTGCATGTAAAAAGTTTGAACAGTGAGAAAATCTTAACATTTCCATTATATGTGCTGTGAGTATGACAGTTACATTTATCCCGCTATAAGCTCTATGCTCAGTGGCAGACTGGAGCACCTACTTTGCCAGAACATTATCAGGAAGAATACTGAAACTGCTTTTGAAAAGGAGAAAAAAAGGCTGTAATGCAAAAACAAACCGTAAGGCTCAGGATAGCTGTTGGTGTTGATATTAACGCTAAAATTCCTTTTATTTTCTTTGGCACTCTTCAGTGATATATTTTTTCATAAAAGTACAGTTTATTCACATTGGTCTGCTATAAATCCAACTCCAAGTCATACTTCCAGACAACAAAAATGTTATTTTTTGATGAAATGAAGTTAGGCAGATTCCTTAAAGCTCTTAAAAGAGATTGATAATCTTTTGATAATCTAACAGATGTCAAGGAAAAATAGTGCTATTAAGATTTCTTAAAGAAACAGGCAATTCAGATAACAACAACAACAACAACAAACTAACTGTAGGTTGAACTGGCTCGGCAGCATTTCACTGGAAGCAAATTTTATATACAATTTTGGGAGAAGTAACGCAGCTTTGAGATGCGCTGCCATCCCAATGGCGCAGAAGTTTGTCAGGCTCTTTCAAACTGCTTTAAAATACTGATCCCTTTGCCTCAAATTGTTTGGAGAAACTGGCATGTAAATGTCATCCAAAGAACGTGCAGTAACCATCAGGAATTGGCTGTTTTTCTGATGCCACTAAGGAGAGTGCTCTCAGGCAGGCTGCTGTTTGTTCATGTAGGATATGCTTTTAAAATGATGACTAACATAGTGCTTTTCTAACTCCTGACTGCAGCGCAGGAAGGAAAAACACACAGTTTAGATCTCACCTGGCATATTGTACCACACTACATCTATTGCGGCATTCAGACTGTAACTGTTTTACTGCAATACGTGTATATCAGCTCTTCCGTGCCCTCTCCTCCCACAGACTGATGCAACACTGCAGCAGGAGCCTGCAGAGGCACTGACACTTCATTGCCCTCAACGCAATGAAGGGAGCAGATGCCAAAGCATTTTTTTTTGTAGAAACAAAAAACAAAACACAAAAGAAAAACAAACAAACAAACAATCCAGCAGGTCTCTGGGAAACCCTTCCTATGTGGTCCTGTGGAGCACAGGTTTTCCATGATAAGGGCATGTTACATTCCAGCTACATCACCAAATTTAAAATGAAGATAGATATGGAGGTACAGACCAACATATACAGAAGTTGAATATAGCCATTTACTGGGGAAGATGCACAAAATTATTTACAGTTTGATTTTGTGATGATTGTGATTCTTGGAGTGCTCAAAGCATGCACGTATAATTAGAAATCTTTCACGAGAAGAAATTAAAGAATAAATATAGAGCCTTTAAGTCCAAATGCATTGATTTTAAATATGAGTGGACCTGAAAAGGCTTAGTTGAGAGGAACTTGTTAGTGATGTTGATCCTTTAATTAGCCTATTAGACCAATTACTTAAACCTCTTGAGTCTATGAGAGGTGAGTGGAAATACCAAGAAGGTTCTCTCTGGTGTGTGCTGCTTTAGATAGCGCTAAAATGGCACAAAATCAATTCTTCATGAAACATTTGCAATTAAGAAGCATACAGCTAGGGAAAAAATATAATTCTGAGTATTTTAGGATTTAAACAGAAAAAGTTGAGTCCTCTTTTTTTGCCCAAGCTACACAATTTGATTTTTGATTCATTTATTGAAACAGCACCCTTTTCCTCTTTCTTTTTTTGGCATGGAGTTCAGCTCTGAATCTACACTTGTGTTTCAAACATCTGGCTTTTGATCTTGTGTTTTGGCACGTACTCTACAACAGTTAGTGCACCACAACTTTAGAAAGTATAGCAAGATACACTTCCCGTGCATTTTCTCCTTTCATGCACAGCCTACATCAAGCATTGACCAACTCTTGTGGCGAGAGGGAAATTAAAAATATTTCCCTGTATAACAATTTCCTTGCAACAAAAGATAATTTTCAAAGCAGTTCTGCTAAGAAATGTAGCATCCCTACTACAACGTTGCTACCACAAAAAGGAGGAGGAGTACTTACTGTCTGTAGCTGACCATAACTATTAAAATAGCTGGCATACAGCAAAGGATGATGATGACGGCCAGAGCAAGTAACGCGCCTTCCGTGTAGCCTACAGCTTGCGCCTGCTTCTTGACGTTTGCTACCACGTCTGGGGTGCGGATCTCCAGGATGCGTCCCCCCTGCCCCAGGTACGGCTGAAACTCTTTATTGATATCCAGCAGTTTGCCATCCAGGAACCTTCAATGCCACAAAAGAAAACTATTACAGCCAAGTTCATTAACTGTGTTTGAATTACAGCATGGTTGGGTTAATAACGGTGGTCTGATAAAGCACATACCTTTGCTTTATGTGCTTAAGAGTATTAGTAATTCCCTGTAATCCCTATGTCAGCGATAACCCCAATGTACTTAATACCGGAACGCAGTTCAAACACTGAAAAGGAGAGGTGAGCTGAAGCTTATCCTAATTTCTAGGGGCAGAAAGTTCTCCAAGCCATTGAGAGCAGCATGGCAAATGGCTTCCTTTGTGCTTTTTCCTACAGGGGTCTGCTGCAGAGGATTAACTCACCCCCCTGCACACAGCCCTAAAGACCACTCCGGCCTAAAGATCAATTCGATGCTACTCTAAAAGCAGGTGATTTTCAGAGGACTTTGCTCAGCTTCTTCAGGAAATTCTTCAGCTGGAGGGATAGCCTACAGTTTGTTCCCTTTTGACTTCCCTTTCAATATTAAAAAGAAAAGGGATTTGGAAAAACTATGCTTTTATTAATCCCCACCTCCTTCCCCCCAGCTGCATCAATTCTGAACCTTGTCCTCCCATCTGCTCTGTCTAGTTAGCCTCCACGTCTCTGCTGTTTTCTTAGATTGTAGTGCTGGTACTACACTGCAGCGATTGTAGTGACTGTTTGATGGCAAGAGGAAAGCACAGAGGGACAATGATCGGATGAACTCGTCTCCAGGAGGAGCGAACATCAGAGCAGCTGAAGGACGTGCCCTCCTAACGCTTGGCACACTGCAGAGGGAGTTTATTCACTGGCTTCAGGCTGTCTGACAGCATCCTCTCCATCACGGCAATTTTTGGGTGGAATCTGTAGCAACATTCCTGAGAGGCACAGGACAGTTGTAGCAAGGAAAACAATAACATTTTAGAAAACGCTGCATCATCTGGACTCGTGTCCTAAAAGTCAAACTGGAGGTCACAAAAGATGAGAGAGAGAGATTACTGTAAACTGCCTCCTCTTTCTTTTTGAGAAGATGCAGGCCATTTCTTCTGGAGTTGCACACCTCTTCTAAAAGGAAAAGCACTAAATGCTTATAATAAACTGTAATTTAAACTTCAAGGGTTCTCCAAACACTGCCAGATACCAGAACAATCTTGACTAATGTGGCTAATTACAGGAACAATATCTCTATCTCTAGAATAGAGAACAATATCGCTATCTCTACAGCTATCAGAAAAACACTGGCTTCAAGTAGGCCTACAAGGCACACTGTTAAGACAGAGTTAGGTCCTAAGCAAAACTCGGGTGCTCGCTAACCAGGAACCACACGCTGCCATCACTGCTTGCAACCTACAACAATGTCCATCTTCCATTCGTGCATCACCTATGAGAGGGACTGGGAACAACACAGCTACCAAGCAAAGGACCGGAACAGTCTCGGAAAAAGGAAACGCAGTGGAAGAACTTCAGTATCTGATCTGAAAATTGGCAGTTTAAAGACAGGTAGCCAAAGGTAAATCTTAAACAAATGACCTCATTTCCCATATGACAGAAAATTTTCTATTGAATGACTTTTTGATAGCAAACAGTATGTTTGTTAAAGAAATTTAGCTTAGGAGTTTGAAAACATATTTTGCCCAAGGCTTTGTTTGAAAAAATATACTGGCCGAGGCTTTAACTTCCAAAGGAAAATAACAATTCCTGGATCACTTTTGAAGTGAGGATTGACCGTCTCACAAGCTGCCAAGTAGTAGGCTCCAGCTATAGAGATCAAAGTAGGAGGCACCCATTAGGATGGAGGAGGATCCTGCTGGCTCTGAGCTATAGCAGAACCCCAGACCCTTACAGACCCTTACCTCCTGGAGAAAGAAAGTCGAGTGAAAAACACCAAGGTTAAAAAAAAAAAAAAAAAAAAAAAAAAGCAGCTAAAAAAAAATTCCAAAAGGACTTCTCAATATAAACTCTGAATGTCTAAAGTCTGAAATAGCTTTTATTTCCTTAGTCTGATTGTGAGACAGAAATTCAGTACTTAAAGGGGGCCTATAGGAAGGATGGGGGCAAGCTTTTTTAGCAAGGCCTGTTGTGACAGGACAAGGAGTAATGGATTTAAACTAAAGAAGAATAGATTTAGACTGGATATAGGGAAGACATTTTTTACAGTGAGGGTGGTGAAGCACTGGCACAGGTTGCCCAGAGAGGCGGTGGAGGCCCCATCCCTGGGAACATCCCAGGCCAGGTTGGACGGGGCTCTGAGCACCCTGCTCTGGTTAAAGCTGTCCCTGGCACTGCAGGGGCTGGGCTGGGTGAGCTCCAAAGGTCCCTTCCCACCCAAAGCATTCTGTGAGTCTATGATTACACTCCTAAAAGACCATTTCTTAAAGGGTGTTAATTTCTTACAATTTATTTCCTCTCAAATTAATTTACTGATAAACCCTCATAGCATTGTTTGTCCCTGTTTTTTTTTGAACTCTGGGGAGAATGCGCTCTGATCCGTGCGTGTAAAGTATTAGCTGGATCTCAAAACATGCTGAACAATTCATCCTGAGTGATGAAATGGTGCTGGTTTCAAGATACTAACTTCAAAGCAGAGCAGTGGCCGCTCACTCACGGACCCACACTCTCACAAAAAACAACCCAAGGCGTTTTGAAGAATAATTTCCCTTTGTATTAGTATGCTCTGCTGATATTCAGAACTAATTCCTTGATTTCTTCCTTAAAACGTTTTCTTGGTATTTGAGCAAAAATCCCTTTTCACAGCTTCCAGACCTGCAATGATGGCTCACAAGACACAAACCGAGTATAAACGGAGCTCTAATTCTTTTATTGTACGCTAGATGTCACTGGTGCATGTTACACGTCCTTTCGGTTGGCAAAAGCATTCAAGTAGGACAGCATTAAACCTCTGGATGATTTTAACAATCTCTCAGTTAAAATTCTGTTAGCATTTTCTTGACAAACCCTATTTTAACAGGTTCGTAACTCAACCATGCACATTTACTCCATGATGAAACATGACACATTGTGCAAAAGATTCAGACAGGGTAAGCATTTTATTTTTAATGGTGGACATTTTCCACTTAATATATGCAGGAGAAATTTTCTGGATTCCACTGGTTTTTATGCTCCAATAAATCAAACCCTCTTTCATATAGAAGATAAAAAAGGAGGCTGATCGTTTCAGTCTGTAAAATTATCTAAGTGGCCTCAAAGTCTTTTAGGAGTTTGCGGTAGAGGGAGGAGTAACAAAGCACCGTTAGTATTCAGACCCATTTTTGGGGGTAACCAGACAGATTCCTGATTAATAAAAATGTTAGGTAATCAGTCATCACAGTCTTAAGGAAAAGCATGAATCTCTCATTGCGTATCAGTCTTACAAAGTACAGGATAGGGAAAAATCAGCATGTCTTGAGACACACATGGGTTTTCCCCAGCTGGCAGTGACAAACACAGCGCGGCTGTTATGCCCATGACTTCTAAATCACGTCTCTGTTTTCCAGCCAAACATTCTGCATGAATGCAAATACGCGGGATTGGGCTACTCGTCTGGGACTTCTGAACGTGAGGCAGCCCATTCAAAATAGCCTGGCAGCGAAAGTACGGCAGAGTCCGCGCACGCGCCGTCCTCGTGCACGTCAGCATTAATCCAGAGCACCCTGCATCGCCTCTTATGTCTTCATTTCCTAAATGACTGTTGGACGCGACCTGACATACTGGAGCGACATTTCCCAGAGGTGATTATGGGAGCCTCAGACATTAGCTTTGGTTCAGTGGGGTTTACTTCTTGGAGAAATGCAGCTCTGTAGCTGAGCTTACTTTGCTCAGCTGCTGACGGGCATTAGCCGTCTTCACTCTCCTTTCCTCCCAGCTCCAGCGTAAAGCCCAGCACCTTCGGGGCCCCAGCACCGCTCTGACTTGTGCCTGGCTGCCAGCACCATCCAGGATGAGGCACCGGTGCTGTCTGTCTGCATCCCAGCAGCGCTCCACCTGCGAAGGGGAACAGGTCGCTCTGCTCCACTCTGTCCTCAACTTACCCCCACGGTCCTTAAAAGACCTTCGCAGATAATTATTTTCAAACAGTGACGGGTTTAACATAGACTCTGTCAAAGTCAGGGGCTCCTCTATGTGTTATAAGCAGAAACACAGCAAGGTGTTCCCAAAAAGCCCATTTAAGGAAAGCCACAGGTATCTTCCAATACCCAATAATTTTGTAAGCTGCGTTAAAATCGCAACTGGCGGAATTCATGTGCTAAATCTGTGGTGTTGGTACAGTTCTCTCTTCTGTACACATCACGAAATTTTTGAATGCTTGGAAAATACCTTGGCTAAATTTATATTCCTTATTGCTAATGAAGTTTTTAAAACAGGGGGCTCCATCTCTTTCTGACTTTCTAACCTTTCTCCCATCATATCCAGTTTATTAAATAATCCTTTCTCCTATTGATCTCTCTACTGCTAGGATCCAGAGCAGATTCCTGGCTGGCAGAAGGATGGTTGTGACTCTTGGCAATCTCTCCCCAATGAGGGGACAACGGTGACTGGGGCAGGAAGAACATTAAGCCATCCCTCTAAAGATCAAAACTCCATGAAAGATGGTCACAGAAGGAATTTCTTTTTAGATTTGGGTAAGCATCTGAGCTGAGCCAAATCTCTTGAGGTTCACCCACTTGCTAGTGAAAACTTGTTAACTTCAGATGTCAAGATACAAAACTCTCACTTCATTTTTCTCCTTACTTTAGTAAGCTGACACTTACTCACGTCTACCCTAAAGCCAGGAAAGCATTCCCCGGAATTTTGCCGATATTTAAATATTTAAAAGCTTTTGAAGAGAGAGGTAGGGGAAAAAAAAAAAAAGCTGAGTATGCAGGCACAGGGAGCATTTTAATGAGGTTGATTCTAAGCTGATACCCCATACATTTGCAGACCAGGCAAATGAATAACCTTCCCTTCACATTTGAAAAACTGCTTTTTCACCTACCTTTATTCTGTGTATTTCACTGGAGACACAAACATCCCTAAAAAGACATTCCTGTATTTTCAAAGGGCACCAAAATGAAGAGGGACACCTCTTCTGACCGTTAAGAGAGTCTGCATCAGAAAAGATTCTTTTTATAGAGTTGAAAGAGCTAACTGCCTCCATGCCCGGGTACTAGGTCACTTTCATATACTAATAATAGTAGATTTGCAGAGAGCTTTCCAAAGTGAGGAGTAAAAGGGTGTCAGAATTTTCAACTGTCATCGAGGTCATATAAATTTGCTGAACCTGGACAGCACCAAATAATGTCCTTTTGACCTTGGGCATTTCTAACGGGATCCCACTTTGGCTGTACTCTAAACTGTCTACAACTGGAAGAAAACACAGACCTCAACAAATTTACAAACTGTAAAAGTGGAGAAGTAACGATAAAGAGGGATCAGTAGGTAGTCTGGGTGTAGAGCAGTAAGATACATTTTACTGAGACTAGTTTTGGGAGCGGGTTGGGGTACAACAGTCACTTACAGGAGCACTGCAAGCAGATTTACTGGCACTTTTCCTTACAGAGAAAGGGAAATGGTTATCTACTAGGGATTTCTGCTGGCTTCCTGCCAGGTTTCCTTAATTTCCACTTCCACTCTTGAATAAAAACTGGGAACAAAATCACAGATACCCCATTCTGGGAACGATCAGCAGCTCTGGCAGTGGACAAGTGAACACAAACTCCCAGGGACCTAAAAAGACTGCACGACCATGGAGATACCTACAAAAAAAAAATGGCCACCGGAAGGAAGGAGGCTGTATGGCCACTGCTCTGAAAGCTACCGCTGCTAAACTGCATCTGATTTTTACATTCCTAGTTCAGAAAGGGATACTGGAGAGGGTTCAGAGAAAACTCTAAATGATTAAAAGAATTAAAACATAGCCCAGAGTGTGGAGGTCAAGGAACTTCTCAAGAAAAAGATTTAAGAAGATGATGTGATCATAAGCCTGGACCTTGGTGGGAACCAGAAATTGAAGGCACAAATTGGATCCTTCAGTCTAGCACCCAAAGTTATAATGAAACTCTATGACTGACTCTAGACAAATTAAAAAAAAAAAAGAAAAAGAAAAAAAGAAAAAAGGCCTAATTTTTTACAGTAAAAATAATTACCCTGCAATAACAACACAAAGGTTGTAGTTGACTGGATTTTCTTGAACAGTTGCTTTGCTGAAAGACACGCTCAAAGCAGAATTAATTTTGGGAGTTCCTATGCTCTTTATTATACTAGGTCAGACTGATCACAGTGATCTTTTCCAACCTATAAACTCTGAATATATGCAGAGCTTTAGTATGCTATAATTCATCTGTACTAAATTAAGAGCTCGGGAGAATGAGCCCTTTTTCAATCACAGTCCACTGAGATGGCTCACAGCCATTTGCTTTTCAGGCTCCTGACTGACATGCTGCTTTTATACCATCATGGAACAGTCTGGTCTAGTTTTCACTGAGATAAAAAGCAAACACAAAGGTGAAACACATGCAAAAAAACCCCAAAAGGTAGCAGCTGGTTTAGAAGAAGAGCCTGATTTGCATTTCCATTGTTTTGAACCACATGCAGAACACAAAAATAGAACGCAAAAATACAGTTTCTAACAAAATGATTCTACAGCCATATTGGTACATCAGCAGCTGAATGGGTCAAGATACTAATTTTGTCTTAGTGTTTACTTGTCACTAGTGACGACTCAGAAAAAAGCCACGTAAAGAGATTACCTTCATTTCATTTCCTTACCCACGTAATCTCTGGCTTCTCTTCTTATGCAGGCAGAGAGCGGAGTTACCGCTGGCCCCCAAAGCAGTAGCATGCCAGAGTGGAATCCCACCGGAGCTCTGCTAAGGTGCCGGCGCCCTGGCAGAGCGCTGCCCTAGCAAACCGCCCTGCTGCAGTGCCCAGAGCCGGCCCGTTCACTGGCAACATGCTGTGAGTATATTCAGTCACTACAAAGCCGCCTCATGTTTTATGTGACACTGAAATTTAACTGCTCATTTGGAAGTCAATTGAAAAGGCAAAACACTGTCAAATGATGAATATAAGTGGCCTGTCTGCTGCTGTTCACCATCTCCTCTAGCAGCTGGTGGGACGGGCCCCTGCAGATCTGTCCTCTCAGCCCACTGGGCACCTGTGAGCACTACTGATTTCCTGCATGTAGATGAACACCTGGGTCATGCCCTGATGTCTGTGCTTCAGGCTAGGTGCACACCACCTCTCTTTCTTCCCCTTCCCTTTCTTCTTCTTTGGTTTCCACAAAAAAAAAAAGAAAGAGAAAGAGGTATGGTCCAAATGGAAACTGCAGAAAGCCTGAAGGTCAATGATGGGAGCACCAAAGCCCTTGCTTGGAGATCACAGAGAAGTTTTGGTACATAGAAAGTAAATCCCTTCAGAGGAATTTAAACTGGAAGCTCCTCCACAGGGGGGACCAAATGTATTGCAAGCTCTCATGGCAGCAGCGTCTAAATCACACGTACTGGGGCCATCCAGCTCAAGGGAGTGGACTGAATCTAGTAAAGTTGTACTCCCAAGCTGCACATGGGGTAGGTGTAGGGGCACGCACCACCTGCTTCAATAGATTTTTCTGTTCCTGTTGTGTTGAACCACTTGCTAACAGAGACAGACCAACAAGCTTCAGAACAGTCCATAAAAATATAGGAAAAGCAACAAATAATATACTTACTTAAAAAGTTCATTCCTCATTATAGCTCTATTTGTTTGTGGGTCGATTGCATAGACCATCAGGTCAGACTTGGTGTAATCCTCTTCAGAGAACCCATCCCCAAACCTCCGCGCACCGATGGATTCCACCACGACCGTCGCACCGGGAATCTGATCTTGGACATAGCGTTCCAAAATCCTAAAGACGAGATGGAGCCAGAAAGCTGCAGTGATTTATTTGTGCTGATCAAGGCTGACAACAGCCCAAACGAGATACTAACAGACAAAAACCCCCAGGCTTAGTAGGATGGTAACCTTCAGAGCACTTTTAAAAAACCTCTGCTCCAATATAACCTCTTAAACACTGAACTCTTGGGAAAAGCTTAGCAGGGTTAGGAGAGGTCACCAGAAATAGTGTCCTGAAGTCTAGCTCTTTGTATTTATGACATCAGTTGAGTTTTAAATGGCTCATGGGAAACACCACCTATATTTCACAAAAAAACCCCAACCTGTCATCCTTTTATTAAGCTATATGACTTCAGAGGTCTTCCATTCCAGCCTTATACAGGGTGCATACAATAAATTTTCACCCACAGAAACAACTACTTCAACCATTTTCGGTGGGATATTTCATCTGGCCCTCCAATATAGCACAACATATCAGATGCCAGAACACCTGCTACTCCAAAAGGCATGAGCAAGTTTTACAGCCATAAAAAAGTTGGAATATTGATCTGACACATTTACTACAGGAAAAAAACCCCAAAACTGCAGAAGTTCTACAAGCAGAAGAAAGATAGTTTGACAGAATTCAGCGGCAGCTATTGCCTGAGATAACAAGGGTGTAACAACTATAAACCAAAACAAATCTGTTCTTTTTTCCAAAGAGAAGGATTCATTACAAGCTTCCAGAGCACAGAATGGCACACTCTGCAGATATGTACCTAAATGGCAATGTGCCAATACATGAGATAAGTTTTAATTCCCTAGAATTGCATTTACTAGAAAAGGTGACATTTACTGGTCATTTTATTAATTACTGTCATGTGACCAATTTTCTTTATTACTGAATATTCTTTTTTTCTTTTTCTTTTTTTTTTGACAACTGACTGTCCGCAGACATCTTAGTAAGTGCTTTTGGAAGCCTTTGTTCTAAATTCAAAATCTCCTATTTTTCTACAGTTCTCCATGCAGAACTGTTTACGGGAGAAATCCTAACATGTGGTGTTATTCCTAAAATATTCAAAAAGGCAAAGGGAGAATGGCTGTTTGGAGAATGATCCTCCAAACAAACAAAAAATACTTGTGACAGCTTGAAATGCCTTCAGCGTGCCTGCAGAAGCACCAAACCAATGGGGAAAGGACCTCACCGAGCACCCGGGAAGTTTCTGCACAGAGAGCAAGCACACTTACATCTCAGATATGGAGGGCTTATGGAAAGTTGTAAGCGTAACTCACTACTGCTCTAACAAACTGCTTTAAGAAAGGACAACACCTTAATACAGTTTTTAAAAAATATATTCTCTTCCTTCCTCCTTGTCTGGTCCACTGCTTTAGTGGGAAGGCATAAACAAAGGCATAAAAACAAGTATCATCCACAGTGGATACCAGGGCAAAAAAGTACGGACAAATAAACAAGAGAAGCTGGAAGGCTAAATAAATACTCCATCAGAACTATGAGTTATGGCAAAACACAAGATTTTTCTGGGCTAATTCATGTGATTGGAATATCAAATTGAAAAGCAATAGCTGAGTTAGGAGGCAAAAGCAAGGGAACGAGAGGGAACATGCTGCCTGATAGATCAAGGTTGCACTAGGGTGTGGAGGAAGACAAATCTCATAAAAAAGGACATCAATGACTTTAAGAAGTCACTTGTTGTTTTAAACAAAATCTTTTGCAGTTGCTGAGGTTACATTTTGCTGCTGTTTTTTTTCCTGACACAAGATTTCCAAAGTACAGTAATGCTGTCAAAGCAGTATCACCATCTCATAATTTTTCAAGACCACTGATCCACATTTATCCATCCAGTTTCTCTGCTCTGTGTGTGAAAGTTTAATGTGCCCTTAAAAATAGAAGCTTTTCTATAAGATTTTGAAAAATCCAAGTCTGTTAGACCCAGGTCCTAGCCTAGCAGTGAATTGTCTTCTCTTAGTGTAGAGCTGTTTTTGTAGGGAAAATAAAAATAGTAGATTGCCTGACACATTGCTCAGTGACTGGCGTCCTCTAAGCAAGCACTCCTGCCATTTGCAGATATGGTAAACTCTACTGTAAACTCTACTCATCTCTGCTTCTGGCACGTGCTTAACTGGCAGCTTGGGTGATAACCCGTTACAGGCACCTCAGTAAAAATTCTCCCAGGTAAAACTTGACAGAACAAATCTAGGAGATGCAGATTACTATAAAAAAAAACAAACCTAAACATTATGTGAATGTAAGTGACTAAAAGAAGCCATAACCGTCTTTAGAATGGCGTTTTGCACAAGGATTCAGATAGGGAGGTAAATCTTTAATGTATTTGGTCTAATTGGTACACAATCATCTTCTGTTGCTGCAGAGGGGGGGATGCTTTTGTTTCCTTGCACAGAACTATTATTTCACCCAAGACAGAAACGCCCTGTAAGGGCTGGAAGGTTATAACGTAGGTTCACTTTTAGCAGAATTGGTAACAACATTCCCTTTTCTCAAAAATTCCTGGCATGGCTTCTGCTGGAATTCATTGCCTTTGAGAATATCTTTGTCTAAAACACTATTAAGATTGAAGAACAAATAGCATACTGCTTTCCGACTATGAGAAATAAGTACGTCGCAGCCATTGGCTTTAACTGACTTTGCAAGAAACACCACGAAGTATAGTGGAATGACAGTAATGTTTCATCTGAAACGCACAAATTGCATGTTTAGGTTGAAACATATAATAAAAATGCACTGAAGACTGAAAAGAAGCAATTAAAGAATGCACTTAAAAATACAGGCAGTTCCCTGTAGAGTTATTTTAAAAGCCATTCAGCTGAACTTGTGATGCTGAAAGCACTGCAGTGTTTTAGAACTCTCCTGAAAGCAGCCGCCTGCTTGTAATACTACTCACAAGAACCAATTTTTAAAACGCATACTTTAAGTAACAACAGCGTCTGCAGTTCTGCTGTATTCATCAGCAAAAGTTAGCTTAAAATTAGTGTCACTTGTTAATGCAACAAGGGTAATTACCATCCTCCCAACAGTGGTGCAGTGAGAGGAAGAACCAGCAACTTAACAGGCGACGAGATTTTCCTACTGCTCTAACTCCATTTAGCTCTGCAGACATAACATAATGACCAGAAATGCCTCCCAGTGCATCTTCATTACCATCACCTTGTGAAGTCCCACCAGCGACACCAGTGAAATTAAATGAAGGACAAGAGGATTTTCACTGTCGTTGCAGACATGATGTGGCCCTAAATATCCTGGAAACTCAGAAATGATATTTTTTCATCTTTAGATGCAAAAGAAATGGAAAGGCAAAAAAATACAGGTGTGTTGCTCTGTTGAGCTGTCCCCTGGCTGGTGGCATTCTGCTTCTCAGAACATTCCTGAAACCAGCAGACCAACACCCCAAATCTGAGACAAGGCACCACGTTCCTGGGCCACGCTCAGTGCCGTGCCCATGGGCTGGTATGCGCACCTGAGGCATCGTGCCGCGGGCAGGGCTGAGGTTGCTGCACCCCGCTACAGGCAGAGAAGACCCTGCTGAGCACAGGACTAAATCTGGGACGTGGTTTAGTGGGCGTGGTGGTGTTGGGTTGATGGTTGCACTGATGATCTTAGAGGTCCTTTTTGACCTTAGCGATTCCTAGTTTTACTTTCATTAACAAATAATCCAGTCACCAAGCCAGGAAACATGAAATTAATTATTACTCTACCCTTAATTGGTTTAGTGGTGGACTTGGTAGTGTGAGGTTAATGGTTGGACTGGATGATCTTAAAGACCTTTTCCAACCTAAACAATTCTATGATTCTATGAAATTAAGGGGTGCACCCTGGCACCGCAGCATTGTGCTGCTTTCTCCCTACAGCTGCACGAATCCAGCATGCCAGACACATGCCCCAGCACAGGAGAGATCCTGCTACTGGGAAAGATGCGAAGGACCACTTGGAAGCTTCTTTGGAAACTAATGCGAAAGGTCCACATGAGCCGGTTAATTCACCTCAAAGCATGAGATACGGCACCAGCCACGTGAGAGCCTGGCAGCACTGGCAACTCAACTAGACTGATAGTCATCGTGTAAGACTTGGTAAGTCAGCAGCAAGGTTTAATGACCCTCTGTTGTCTGTGGCAGAGAAGATGCATGACAGGGCCCAAAAGAGCACCGCAACGTTCCAGTAGTTTTATACCCTCGAGCTGAATTGCTAAGTTGCACGCGTACCCTCTGAATCAGCACACAAACAAAAGAAACAATTCAATTTGCAGAATATTTTAGATCCTCACCAGTACCTGAAATTAGTTACTGCACAATTTTCTTTGCAGAAAATTCTATGGGAAAAGAAAATGTTTCAGTTCCCTAATTTGATAGCCTGCTGTGTTTCTGGAGCACATAAAAATATTTTTATTTAAGAAAAGAAGAAAAAAAAAGTCCATTCTTTCCTTCAGGACTCTGAAATAACTAGTATCATAGACTTGGAGCTACAAGTCTTGAAGACTTGTAGCATAACTTTTAATCCTTTTTTAACTTTTAATCCTTTTTAATCTTTTTTTAATCCTGCATAACTTTTGGCTCCTCCACTGAAAATTCTAGCTCTTCAAAATAACTTAGTAGTAATAATAATGAATTTATATTCTAGGTATTTGAAAATGCAAGCAAATTTGGCAACAATGCACAGACAAGAGCATTCAGCTCTGCCACCACACATCAATACAGACTTTCAAGACTCAAGTCTTTCATTTAAGTTGAATACACACTATCAATTTTGCTCAACCTCAGCCAAATTCTGGCTGTGTTGGGTTTTTGCAAGGTTAATAATTGACAACTGAACTGGATTTTCAGCTGTACTTTCGCAAATAGGTGAGGTCCAGTTCCAGCACATGGGCCCCAGCTGCCTTATTCCAGCACCGGGGAGGTTACACTGCTTCTGCGGCCTCCAGAGAGGCACCAAGCTGCTTTGGAGCTGCCAGCACGACTCAAGAAACCCTTCCTGGCCAGCTAAGTCAGCCTGCTTTGTGCTGC